GAAATGTACTCTGAACTTATGGCCAATCGGATCTCGGCTATAAGCATATAAGCTGCGACCGTATATGATACTGAGTTTGGTTTCGCAACCAAGATCACCATATACGATACTGAGTTTGGTTTCGCAACCAAGATCCAATGACCGCAATCGCCCCTAAAGCTCTTTCAGAGACGCGGAAGCTGTTTCCACGTCAGCTGTGGCTACAAGCTCTAAAAGTTCACGTTCATTCATTGAACTTCAGTTTATTCTAATTAGATCTGGAGTTGAAATATTCTTATGTGAATGGTCAATTTCCACGTATTATATGTCAATTCAGGAATCGCAAATCCATCGTCGGTCAACACCGGAATCTTTATACTCAAAAAGCAAAGCATAAATTGAGCGCGACTTAATCGGGCTGGATGTATACCTCTTGGCTCTTGTGACCACGGAGAGTAAGCATCATGTCCATCCATTGACGAGTGATGATAGTACGCTTTGGAGTTGTGGATAATGATCTGAGCCTCGGGCAAAGCCTCTTTTGGTTACTGTCGATGTCGCAACACTTGACATTCGTGGTGCTTAGCCGATGACGACGAGTCGTGGACCACCGGAGGAGGACCTTTGGCCGTTGGCGTGGAGCTCGCTGAAGAATATGGGTGCATTCGTTTTTGCGAAAAATTGACAATTTAAAGAAGATTTTTCTAAATTTGATCCGTTACATCACTTACGGTAGTGAGTCAACGAGAAAAATGTTTTTATTGGTAACAACCTATGCGAAAATACTTTTGTTGAGAATAAAAATATTTTTGTTATTCATGTTTTTAAGGGATGCAAGAGATCGAAGTTTCGAAAACTTAATTTAAATGATTGATTTTTCGGAAACAATCGCATCCTAAGACTCGACCGCTAGTCGGTCCATACAGAGTCGTCCTTATGATGGCTATGCCACAAAACAACAGTCTGGAATTAATTGGGTCGGCAGATCAAAAGAAGATGACCAGACAAGAAGATCGATGTGTGTTTTAGTTGGAACACTATCAAATGGAATGTGGTCCTGCAGCATTAAAAAAGAAAGCAAGTAAAGGATGAAAAGTACTTCATTAGACTTAGAAAGCAAGCAGACCATGCTCTGTTCTTTGCCAGCCATTGACATGGCGACAATAAAATTTGCTGAGTCCTTTTGGTTGGGAACTACAGATAATCGACAAAGGTGATGAGAAGTCACGGACCGGCGACACAAAAGAAAATTATTAGGTATTGAGCCACTAAATGTTGATAAGTGGAACTTGACTGAAGTGAAGATCGACGATCAAGAGGGAGATGAGTGTTCGAGTCATGAAGCCCACGATTTCATTGAGCACGATCACTAGTTCATAGAGCCGTGAATGTCGAAAGCCACGAATGAAAATGGCCAAGAAATATGGGCTGTTACAACCGTCAAGCAGAGGAGTTTGCAAGTTACGGAAGAAACAATGAACGTGAGGCAAGTGATGGGGACACGATCGTTGAGTAGGGGGTCTTTTAATAACTATAAATATTAGGATTGTTATTCGAGCAAATGACTCTAATCAAGCAATGTGCACCGGTTGTTCTATTTTATCTTATTATTATCTTTATATTTCAATACCCTTTTATACGGCTGACTTCAAGTTTTCGTACCTTTAATTTTCTCGTCAATCTTCGTTTCCTGTCCAAAAATCTACAGAGATCCCTTCACATCTTTTATCGATTTCGTTTATTCACATTTCGAAAGTTGCCTTGTTGACAGTTTTTCGCGCACGCATTGTAACTTTGATGCTACCCTATCTTGGAGAGATAAAAGGAAGGAGCAAAAAGAGCATGATTAGGTCACTTCCGAGGGAATCGACTGTGTCCCTTTTAGTCACGGTCAACTTCGATCCGTTCCTCACCAGAGAAGCAAAGGCGCAGAAAGAGACGATGCTAAAAACCTGGACCTCCTACCCACTGCATAACTCTCTGATCATTTTCATGCTCCACATAACAAAACTTGGTTGTTCATAATGGAACAAAGAGAGAACGAAACAGAGAAAAACATAACAAACCTGTGTATCAACTATACTTTGATTAGATCATGCGATCCGGTCGGTCAGTATCCACAAGAGTAGCCCGTGTAGTTGATTCGAGAACGAATATTGTGGCGGTCTAAACTTGGGATCTCCTTAGTCGACTGCCTTGATCACCACTGGCTATGCGTCGGCCATCTCGTTCTTGTACCGCCTCAGAGACTGTTGCGTTCTTCCCGCAGATTCTCTTGTAGTATGTGTTTGGTTCGGGTGAGAAATGCCGGTCATGGTGGTGCTGCATTTGCCTCGGCTGCTGCCGCCGCAACTGGGGGTAATCCCCGACCCACCCACCGCCGCTTGTCTCTGACTAGGACCGCGAAGCTCTCTTGCACTGGCCTTGAGTTGGCGTGCTTCTTCTATAGCTGCTGCAGTAGCGCCAGCATATAGAAGCTAGCCACAAGTACTGCTAGTCTGCTATACCTACAGCGCTTCTCGCGCTTTCCCGGTCCATCCTCGGACTTTCCGGCCCCAGAAGCCTCGCTGCTCTCTTCCTCAGCTTCCGCGGAGGAATGATCACACATACCAGTTCCGATGTGTCTTCGCACAATCTTACCCTGAGTTTGGAAGACAACGTCCCGACGACTGTCATTTTCTAGTCCTAGCCCATGCATTCCCGCCTCTCTGCCCGGACTAGTTCTGCGATGCTACCAAAGTGATCCTTCTCAAACTCCAACTCATACCGAAACAAGGTCAACGCGCATGAGTCTACTCCCCGGAACCAGCACAATCCCCAGATTGGGACCGAGGCTATGGAGCCAGTGCTTGGAGACCTATATTTGGACCTCGAGCTCGTCCTTCTCAAGTGTCCCGTAGCGCCACACGCACATGATGCTCCTAAATACAAACGAGTGGGTGGTCGGGACCGATGCTCCTTCGAGAAACTCGGTTCGGGAAGCAGAGAAGTAAAGCGCTTAGACCGAGCTGAAGAAAAATACTAAGCAAATGGTTCAATGAGAACAGCACTCTCGTGCCAACACAGGACTAATGACCAGAGACATCAGGCAGGTGGTCAGCACGTCGAAGCCTTCTTCAGCCCGTTGGTTCAGCTTTTGGAACGCTCATTTGGGCTCTAAAGTCCCTTGACCAAATGCAAATGGTATTTGGCAACCTTTTTTATTCACTTTGGGAAGATGTAATTGCATTTGGAATGCTCTTCAAGAGACTTTTGGCCAATGTAAAGGTGGAGGTGCCTTGAGAAGTTGCATTTTCGGAATGCAACTGTTCATCGCGACTATTTATCTTCCCCAGAGGTAGGTCCGGCGGTTGACGATCGCCGCTTGAGGGCTAGCCCGACCACGGTGACCACCGCCTGGGGGTCGCGCAACCCTGACGACCGCCGCCTGAGGTTGCCGGGCCTCGGACGTCACCTGGGTCGCGCGACCCAGGCGACGCATGAGGTCGCCACCTCATGTCGCCTCGCCTGAGGTCAGGCGGTGGTGGCCGGCAACCAGATCTGGCCGTCGGCGGTTGGCCGGCGACCAGATCTGGCCAGTGGCGGTGGCCGGTGGTTAAGCTCCATCGAAACCTTTAAAAAAAAAATAGCAAAAGTCCTTTAACCGAAGTTGATTTTAAAAAATATTTACCAAACACTACTTGCATTTCGGAAAATTTCTTTAGCCCAAAAAATATTTGCCTTCCCCAAAAATCATTTTCCCAAATTCGAACTAAACGGCCCTTAGTCGTTAACCAAACGCATAGACCATTTTTGGCGCGCTTATCGCTACCTGATTTTCCTATAGACGATCCTGAATTGTATCGCTGAATCATGCATGCGGCCATGGCCCAAGGCTGATGTACTACTCGAGTGTGACTGAGATCAGCACCAGCCGCGCAGTCCTTCTGACCAAGATCTCCGGCGAGGCACGTGACGACTGTGCAAACCAACTTGCAATGTTAATGAACAGTATTGCTATCACCAGCAAACTTACTTACGTGTTACACTTTAGATGTGAATTTCCAAAATGTCTAAATTTTTTCCGCATATATGTTGCCCAAAATGCCCAGCAAAGACCTTTTCGTATCTTGAGCCCGACGTGATTAGTTTGCTTCTCATTAGATTAAGAAAAAGCAACTTGACTTGGAACCTTACCTGAGCTTTTGAGGGAGACAAGCTTCGAGAGGGAGGCAAGAGGAATCTAAGAACCCAAATGCAAACATAATGCTTGATCCCCCTCCACCAACCTAATTTTGATGCTAGGACAAAAGTTATTTTGCAGTCGGTAAATCATATGGAGTAGTATCGTCTCACTCAATAATTTATGTGAATTTCACTGTGGAGTACACGTGATCACAGTGAAATCTCATTTGGGTTTTCTGTACTAAACCAAACGGGCAAGTATTCTTTTTTACCAGCGCTAATACCATAAAAAATCCTAAGCTGATATACCCTGTCACATTTTCTCCCTAACTAATTTTTGTGTTACAAAAATTCCAAGCCGGTACACTGTTGTCAGTTTGCCCCAAAATGATATACCTATGCAACATTTACTGATTTTTTTGGTAAATGTGATATGCATATACCAATTTGAGAATTTTTGTGTACTGGTTCGAAAATTTCTGCAATAAAAAAATTAGTTTGAGGTTTTTTTCTTTGGAGATATTTTCAATTGGGGGTACTTCTTTTTTCTTCCTTATTTGCCCCGAACATAAAAAAGATAAATAGCTTTTAAAAAAAAAAGTTTTACAAATGGAAAGAAAACAGTGTTTGGCGGCAAAGGAAAATGCCAAAAAAGGGCATAGACCCAGCGCGTGTGGATCACGTACGTCCCCGGGGGTGGGGCCCCCGCAGACATTTCTAAAGGCTGAAAATAGACTGGGCCCCACCCCAGCCGAGCGGCACCAAGCTACCGTGCCCCCACCCGCCCCGCATGAATGGCGAATTCGTAATAATCCCCAAAATCCAGTGGCAATATTAAACTCTCAACACCCCCCCGGGAACTGAAACGTCAAAAACCATCTTCCCCCGAGCGGGCAAGAGAGAGAAGACAAGAGGGCCAATCGCAGAGAGATTCTCAGTAGCAATCTCCGAACCAGCGAGCGAGATAGAGAGAGAGACGCCGCGAGCCGTCTCCACGTCTCCCTCGAAACCCTCGCATGGCGGCCTTCGCCCGGTCCTTCGTCCTCCGCCGCCTCGCCGACCTCTCCCCGAAGCCCCCGCACCAGCCGCCGCCGCCGCTGCGGCCCCTCCTCCTCCCGCCCCCCTTCCCCCGCCGCCTCTTCTCCGGCCCCGCCCCCCCGCCGCCGCCGCCGCGGCGGAGCTCCTCCTCCGCCACCGTCAGCTGCCTCAGCGGCGGCGTGTCCGACGACTTCGTCTCCACGCGCAAGTCCTCGCTCGACCGGGGCTTCTCGGTCATCGCCAACATGCTCAAGCGGATCGAGCCGCTCGATAACTCCGTCATCTCCAAGGGCGTCTCCGACTCCGCCAGGGACTCGATGAAGCAGACGATCTCCGCGATGCTGGGGCTCCTGCCCTCGGATCAGTTCGCCGTCACGATTCATATATCCGAGCAGCCTCTCCGCCGGCTCCTCGTCTCCTCCATCATCACCGGGTAATTGAATACCTTGCTGTTGCTTTCCTGCGACGGACGGGATGAATTCAACGTCGTGTGCATTTTTATCTCAATCGGAGGGGTCGCGCCGGATGTTGGATTATATTGTCGGCGATTTCTATTTTATTCTATTTTTCGAGAAGCAACAGTTTGTATGCAATTTGAACTAATCAAAGGGATGTCCGTGAAATTTATTTTTTGAACCGGTGTTTCTATATATGTCTAAGCAGACGTCGATAGTGATTGCGATTGATATGATATGAACTTCAGGTATACGTTGTGGAATGCGGAGTACAGGATGTCTTTGATGAGAAACTTCGATAGTTCGTTGGACTCTTCCGTGAAGAGGGATTTGGTGAGCCAAAATGATGTTTCGCCGGTGGAAGGTGAGGAGAGGCAAAGCGGAGATGAGGGTGATGTGTCTGTTGTAGATATGGAGGGAAGAGGCGTGCAGATATTTGGCGACTTGTCTCCCGAGGCTTTGAATTACATTCAGCAGTTGCAGTCGGAATTGGATATGGTTAAGGAGGTTTGTAATTTTTCCTTTTCACCTTATTGTTTTTATCTTCATTTTCGTTTATATGTTCTTTTGTGAAAATCTGAATGCAAACTGTTGTTATAGGCTCTGGTCTGTTGATTGTCATATTTGAGCTCTGTTGATATCGGAAGATCCTTTCGTGAGTGTCTTTGAATGAGATTGTTTCTAAATGAGGTGCTACTGCAAATTTCATGTTATAGGTCTCTTAGCACTAAGCCATTAAAATTTAAATCATATTGAAGTTTCTCGTATTTTTGGGGGCGATGAGCTGGAGAAGCTACTTAGTAATGCTAGGAAGTCAGAGAGTAAACACCCATTTTAAGATGGTTCTTTGGGTTGCTTTCCGGAATTTGGCATGTTGTGGACAGCTGCAGAATGATGTGGATGTTAAATTAGGCGATTTTGGAAATGGCTTTAGTATAACACGCAAAGGTCATATGACGTCTCATTATATTTCTGCCTCTCTTTGGGTCTTGTGGATCGAGGGATATACTTGCTGGTTGACACATATGTATTTCAAGACTGAAACATCTTAGCTGTTGACCAGAGGATGACTAGATAAGGTGAAAATTAAATATTATGACAGGATGTGGATTTCATGTAGGATCAAGGTCTGACATCGTAAGTCCCGGCATGCATGGCTGGCGAAGTACAAGTTAAGCACCAATCTTCAAGGACTTTTCCTCCAAAAGGAGATTTTAGTAAATAAACAAGTATAACACTAGGGCTGCAGGTCAAGTTGGTAATTTTTCTTACATTTCGCCCTCCCGGAGCCCAGGTATCATATGCACCTCCAAAATAAAGAGCCTTGGATACTAGAAGAAAAACACCTATACCTAACAAGATTAAGTGAATACCCAACATTGCGGTCATTTTTTTTTCTATGTTTTTATACATAATCAAAGAACATTGGGTGTGCTGCAATGTTGCTTGGCTGAGTTAGTCCGCCCTCCCTGTCTTTCCAACAGAAATGGAAAAGGGGGGAAAAAGTACAGTTTGGACACGCAGCAAAACGGTAATCAAACTGTGATCATTAAGTCATCTGTTGGCTCTATACGAAGAACCTAACAAAATTGAGCTGGTCGAAAGTGGGGGTAGAAGGGGGAGACAATACTGTGTCTTTGTCGTTTATAATATCGGTAGTGTCTGCTGTCGGTGCACATGGGTGTGGACATCATTGGACAGAAAAATATCAATAAGTCAACAAAGTGTACACGTTGTATGTCGACGGAACAAAAGTCGGGGTACCTGGTTGTTAGGTTGCTTGACGTGGTAAGGAAGAAGATTATGCTACAGAAAATGGTAAATGTAGCATAAGAAGAAAGGGGAAAAATGTTGACTAAATTGTTTTCAGGAAACCCAAAAGCATGGGTGACAAAATTGTCTGAATGAATGGCCAAATTTGAGGAGTGTTGGTCCTCTCTCTCTCTCTCTCTCTCTCTCTCTATGGAGTGATAATGCAAATAAGCCTCTTGACTCTCATTCCAAATGTGCGAGATTTTGCCACATGCTGCTCCGCCTGGGGCAGATAAGTGCGGATCTGTAATGGGTGTGGCAAATGCCGTTTCTCAGACAATAATAAGATATTGGGTTACCAACTAATAATGATGGGAAAAATCATGGTCAATTTGCTGTTTGAATATGCTGCTTAAGTCAATGTCATGAACATAATTAGGCTTCCTAGTGAATTTTGTTTGTTTGGTACACGAGTCTCACTGTTTCAAAAACTTCGGATGCATTGAAATAACGAAATAAAACTACTGATGGATGAAGGATCACAGAATGAGAGTGTTGAATTGGCCATTCTGCTTAGCTCTGGCATGTTCGCTGCTCCTTGATGAGTTGTCTGAAATATCTTGGACTTCTATCCTTCAGCTATCGTATGATCTGCTGTGTCTTAGTCTCCTCGAACTGGCAGTGAATTGATGGCTGCCTCTGTAAGAAACACTTCTGTCTGGCCTCTTTTTGACCTTCCACCAGATTAATATGACAATTTACCTGCAAGTCTTGTGTCAGCAGCCCGGTGTGCGAATTGTATAAGCTGTTAGTTCGTGTTGATGCGCCTTTCCTTCTCCCTCTCTTATCATCATTGTTCAGCTTCTTACCTGGTTGAGCTCTTACCTTTACAGGAGTTGAATTCGCACAAGAAGGGAAATATGCGAATCCAGTTGGACAAAGAGAGTAGCAATGATTTGTTGAATTACTTGCGGTCTTTAGATTCTGATATGGTAATCGCAAAATTCCTTTCTGATATTAGCTTTGTCTAAATTGTTGTAAAAACCTCCTGCAAATTGTGTACTCATACTCTTGATTTGTTCTACAGGTGAATGAATTATCACATCCCTCATCAACACAAGTGGAAGAAATCATTCAGCAACTAGTTCACAACATATTGAGAAGGTTTTTTCAAGATAAATTGGCCAATGAAAATGCCCAAGAGGGCAATGATGAATTGTTTGATGAGATAGGCACTTCGAGGGATAATTTAGCTAAACTCCTTTTCTGGTGTGTAATTTCTCTTTTGTTGATGGATTTTTGGTGCTATTAAATCGAGCCAGTTCTTTTTACCACATCAATTTCTTACTCAGGTTTTCCTTCCATGACAGGTGTATGTTGTTGGGTCATCACTTAAGAGGCTTGGAGAACAGGTTGCAGTTGAGTTGTGTGGTTGGGTTGTTGTAGAGATATTAAGAGGCATGTACATTCTCTTCTTTTTGCCCAGATGTTCTATTTACTTGAATTCCCAGTGGAAATAATCTCCAATTCTTCATCTTACTCCTACTCGAATCTTTTCACTGGAATTATAGGCTCACAAATAGTGTAGCTTCAACCATTTAAATGCATCTTCCGGTTAAATTGTCTGCACGATTGAATACGACTGTCCTGGTGTAGTTCAAGTAAGAAATGTCATCTCGTTGATGGTCTCATATCTGTATTCTTTGCCATTGTTCTCCGTACCAGTATTATGTAATAACTGTTGAAAGAGGTAATGTACAAACTGTATACTTGTTTGGGTCGATAAGGTCGAGCCTCGGCTTTTAAATGTTGCCTAGTGTGTGTAGGTTTGTCGTCTTGAACATCAAAATTCCAATGAAAGCGGCCGATGCACAGCGATTCCTTTATATTACTTGGACATGGTGGGGGCAAGGTGATGAAAATTTTCTTTTGCTATTGAATCGGGCCATTGACAAGCGGCAGCAGATGGTTGCGATATTAGTCAGCTCCATACGGGTGCATTCATTCCATGCTTATCGCTGACATGCAGCAAGCATGTAAGCAGTAGATCCTAGACATCCATTCATGACCCACGCTCAAGTTGGTCTATGCTGAACCATGCCCATCCAATTAGCTCGTGTTATTCTCTCCGTCTCTGTGACATCCTCAATCCGACACCGATTAATCACGCATTATTGGAATTATTCAGTCTCGTTTAGGCACCAATCAAGAGGGTAAGGGTAAGGCTATCTTGCCACATTGGACATTGATTGATTTTTACGATATTGCACATTAAGACAATATATGCATGATTGGTGTCCCATGATTGATTAATCTATAGTTTTCATTTAAATGCAACTTCTAGAAGGTTTGATGGAGATGCGACAAAATTTGGTCTTGTTAGGGGAAGCTTGGGTGCCACTTTTGGAAGAAAGAGGGGAGGAGAGGGCCCACTTGGTTAGCTTCTAGAATTGATTTCCCCTAAGCTTCTAGCATGTGCTCTTGTCTTGCGTTAACGAGACTTGATGGAGATATTTTAAGAAGGCTAGGCTAGCCTAAGTTTAAAGCCATGAGTGCAAGTAAATTATTGGTTTCTCTCTCTTGCAAGAACACTTAAAGGTTATCTTTTTCATTTCTCCCATTCTCACTAATTCTCACTCATTCTCACTCGCTCTCACTCACTCTGATTTCTCTCATTGCTCTCTTCCTCTCCCTCCCTTCTCTCCCTCTCTCACGCCACCACCATCACCGCTGACCGTCCACCACCGCGCCACGCCGAGCCTTCCGTGCCGCCGAGCCACCATCCTCACTGTCATCGCCGTGCTGTTCGTGCCGCGCCGTGCCGAGCCGCTCACCGCTCGCCGTTGTGTCATCCATGCCGTGTTGACGCTCGTAGTTTGAACGGTTTAGTAAGTGATTTCTCTATAGCTTGGCTAGGGCGCTATTCTACGCGCGTCGGACTTAGATTAGTCTTGTTTGAGCTTGTTCCATCACGTGTGTTCTTGATATTCAAGTGGCTGTTACATATTGGTTTAGACCTTTTGGAATGAGTTATGTGGGTTAAAGATTCGTGGGTATCAACTAGAGTTTGAATCTTTGAAATTTGGTTTGAAAACCAGATTTGTTGTTACCTTCGCTTTACTATTTTTGTAGAGACTCTTGTGGGCTGAATCTGAAGTTATGTTCTTCACAAAAGTTGTTCTTCACATCTTGAAGTTTAACATATTTTAAATCTGAAATTTTTGGAGGTCATTTGGGTCATACGAAAGCTCATCTTCAAACCGTGTTTAAACTGCCCTGAAATGCTGTTTTTCTGACCTTCTTGTCTTTTCAAATTTTTATAAATTTTTCCAGGTCTATTTTCAACAAATTTCCTTCACAAAAGTTGTTAAGGACTTTTCTGTCTATGACTTGTAAAAATTTCGAGGCTTTTTAAGGTGATTTAGGTATTGAAAGAGATAAATTTTGAGGATCAAGTAGTCTGTTCTAACGAGCTGATTTCGGGTCTGACTTTGAGTGACAAAATGACATGATTACAGATTGAACTAGGTTTTATGCTCCTCATAAGAAATGTTTATTAAGGTGTTTTTCGGGACATGTCCAAAATTTAGAATTTTTGGAGTTCATTGACTATTTATTTTAAAGGGATTTCGGTTACGGTGCAAAGCTGCTTTATTGTAAATAAAGTAGATTATTGTGATTATTTTAGTACATTTCTATGTGTACGGAATTTAGATGTTCTAAGTGCGTGAGCATGAAACACTCTTGGATTGGCCTAAGTGGAAGATAATAATTGGCTTGAGTGATTGATATGCTTGCTTGATCACATAAATGGTTCCGTAATAATTGGCTTGAGTGATTGATATGCTTGCTTGATCATATAAATGGTTTCATACTGGTATGATTGCGAGGGACAATGCCCAATGGATTTCGATTTCTGTTCGTGATAGAGTTCGGAACGATGCTCTTAATTGAATGCCATCTTCGAGTGAGGTGGAGATGATGCCGTGCCCGATGGGGCGGGACGATGCCCGGTTACGCCGGATGACCACCAACGGGAGTGTTGGTCGTGGCCTTGAGCGGTCGTATTAATCGGAACACGTGTGGATGCATTGTGCATGATTATGTGATATGAAGTGTTCTTGATTACTGTGCTCATGTGATTGTTTGGTGCAATACAAGCCTCGTGTTGTCTCATAATTATGGGGTTACGAGAAAACCGACGTTGTATGCCATCTTGCATGTGTCCATCTTTACAAGGAAGGTTTATAAGTGAAGTGTGTGCGATTTTGCATGAAGGATGATTGCGGTTGTTCACGTGTGATTATTTGGGTGAATTGTATGTGCCGACGGGAGGTAAGTATTCGCATGTGACTATTGGATTGTGTTTGGCATGTTTTCGAGACGAGGTACCTTCCTACTCGAGGTTTAGAGGTTCTACTTATTGAGTTTTACTCAACCGTTGTTGTTCACCTCTTTTCAGGCTCTAGATTGGATACTTAGACCATGTGTTTTGGTATCCCCGTGGACCAAGACGTGGAAGTGGTCGAGTTAGTAGCACTGAAGACCGACATCGTGTACGAGGAGTACACGACGACCATTTGGGTCGACGAGGTGTTCTTTTTGAGATAGCCTCCGTAGATAGAGGAGATAGGTCTAATCCCGACCATTTTGATTGAATCGGAAAAAGGCCCGTAGTAGTGGGTTTGTATTTTGCTAACATCCGATTGTTAATGATGTGTATATATGTCAAGTGTGTTTTGCCTATGTGTTTTCTTTATTATCCCTTCTATGTTGTTGATTGGGTAATGTTGTTTACGCTTCTGCATGTGCTTATTCGTTAGATAACGCGATGGGTCGGTGACGCTTCCTAGGACGTCGCATTTAAATGACCATGGCGGTTGTCGCGCGCCCGAGGCTCGGGTTGATCGGGGCGCGGGGCGTGACAGTCTCTTTCACGACAGTTTGGGTTAAAGGCAGGTGGATGTCCGCAATCAAAATCTAGTTTCTGTCTGAATCACGCTTGCCCCTCTCAGACACAGGACATCAGGTTTGACAAATTCACCTGATCTGGAATATGATTGGGTCCTTTCGTTGCCGTCTTCCTTGTGCTGGTGTGGGCATTCAACACCGTCACTGGTCCCTCTTGTTTGGCACCAGACTGTGCGACCCACAGAATATCCGAGCTGAGTTTTTTGTTCTTCTTTCCGGAACTATGACTTATTTTATTTTGAAGTGTCGCTCAATGGTGCAATCATACCACCGCCCCTGTAGGTGGAAGTTGGAATCGAACGAGTCATTGTTCCACTATTCATCTAGAGAACTAATTTAGAAGCATCCTAACCTAACCTAACCTCCCATCCTTCTAGATTGACTAAGAAGATTCAAAACACAAGGCGCAAACTCGCTTAATTGCCTCGTTGTCCGAAATTTTCCGTAGGTCATGTTCAAGCGAATTTCATTCAGCTTGTTCCTTAACCCTAGGGCAGTTCAATCATACTGCTTTTCTTCCCTTTTCGTGTACATGAGCACAATGCTGGGTCCGAAGGTCGAAGAGTCATTTCTCTTTACCAAATTTAACTCGACTTAAATTGAAGAAGCAAGCGTAGGTGAAAGACAGAAGAGCATGGCCGATTTGGCTTTCGTTTTACCCGCTCCTTCAGACTGCATTCCCACTTATGCTTCCGAAGTTCTGGTTCTCAAATCATTTCCTCAATCTCATGTAACAGGAGGCAATAGTATATTATCACAAGAAATTCGATGAATATTGGAAAATTCCATGAATGCAAAATCTCATAACTAACCATTTCTACAGGACATCATGAAAGAAACTATATATACACAAACCCACAAGATGTTGCAACCCCATCCCATCGGCCCCTTTGGTCTTCTCTAGTTAACGTCAGCACGCCTTTTCCGACTCAGGAAAAGCCAGAGCTCTCCGGGTTTAGATTGCCAATGATAATTTATGCTAATCTGAAACAGCACGGTGGTGCTTTTTGTGTGAACAGCAAAAACAGAGAACAGCAATTGGAGTTTTTCTGAGTTTTTCGGCATTGTGCCAACCTCGAGCGGATTGCGAATAAGCCCCATTGCTATGACGATGATAAGAATCTATGGAACTTTTGTAATTTTGCCAGATTGTAAGATGAAGATGCGAATCCTGTATTTGATGAACCTTTTCTTTTCTGTCTTGGACGAAAGAAGAGATCCTCTGTATCCAGAACGTATGAGATCTGCAAACAATAACCAGACATTTAGAAACAATACCCATTGGAAAACAAAAATATGCACATCCAGTGAAGGACCAGAGGGGGTCATAAATACTTCCCTACTAATTAAGGTATAAAAATAATGATAGCTTCTAATATCAATTAATATATCTAAACAGTGACAAGAGGACACAAGTTACAGATGGTCTCAGTAGGGCAAAAGATAAAACAGCAGCCTAAACGTAAAATCCCAAAAACATCAAATCCCAAGTGTACCAGGTGATTCAAAAGATATAAGTGTGTGTAACAACATCAATCCCGGTTGCCGTGAACGAGAGGAGGAAAAATTAATGTATGAAAGAAACATAAATGTCAAAGGCCAATCATCATAATTAAAACAAGAGAAATAAAGACGCTATTAAGCCACACCCACACACACAATGATATTAATCTACCTTTGATGAGTTGCAAGTTATCTTGCATTCCAAACCATTGATGATTCTAGCACCTTCCATGACCATACACGAAGCAGAACACTCATCCAGACTCGCATATTTCCGTTTGTTTCTGTCGATCAAAATAAGGAGAGCAAGCATTTAGTGAAAACGTCCCCCATTTCTATTCTTTTCCAAATAGACCAGCTATATTCACCACCTTCAAATTGTAAATTGCTCACAATGTCAAGGATAAAATAATTCTTTCGGATCCAATTCTATCACAATTTTTAAGGACAAAGTCAGACGAAAAAATGACCACAACTAACGTCACTGGTGAACCTTCTTCAATATTTTCAAACTAATATAGAATGTGCTGCAAAATGAGATACCAAAGATATTATCAAGGAGAGTTTGAATGGTAGGGGCACAGAATAATTGGACAAGGCCACACCAAAGGTATAGAGCCATTTAGGAACATTCATCAGCAGCATTGTGGAATAATGAAGAACTCTATGAATAATAAAGCACTGACTTGGACTATGGAAATTTACAAACTTTGGTTCAAACAAAGGATGTCTCACTAGAACTATATATACTGGTACTGGAGCTACTCTGGAGTTTGATAGGACAGCATCTGTAGACAGCTACTCAAACAGAAAAGACATAAACGGAGTTTCAGTAGGATAGGGTAAAACCGGTCTATTCACTTGAAATATCAGAAGTCATCGGAACTTGTTTAGGATAGGCATTGATTAGTCACTAGAAATGTTAAAGTAGTGGGAACTTGTAAGTGCCAGTATCGGGCCTTTTATTACTACCTTAGCAAAAATGTGTCATGCAGCTTCTTTTTGCCAGGAAAAACTGAAAGGAAGTCATTGTACAGATAATCAGCAAAGTTAGGGTCTATTGAAATTGCAAAAACCTCAGGCTTTTCGCTTATACTGTCCATCAGCTGGATGGACATACGAGATGGAGAGGATGACTGCAAGGAAATAAGAAACAGATCATAAATGTTTGAACAAGGAAAAACGGTCAATTAATGGATCGGAAACATAATTCCCTACAGTCAGGGATAAAACAAGGCGCTGCAAAGTACTTACAAATTCCAACCGATATATGTTTTCCTCGTGTAGAAAGATACGAGTGTTTTCATAATACACGGGATCAATTAGCTGTTTCCGAGATTTTTCATATTCATACAATTGAAGGAGCTTGTTGTCCATGTCCTCACTAGCTACAGTTTGAAGCTGCAACAAAAGCTACAACTGTGACATAGGGACAAAACCAAGGCGGAAGAAAATATAGAAAAAGATTGAGCCAAACAAACCTGCTTGACCAACTTGTATATTAATTTGTCCAACGTAAATAGAATGTATGAGTGATTTCCAATGATATCTCTGCATGCATCTTCAAATTTTGCATTTTCAAGATTTCCATCAAGCAACTTGTAGAGGACAGACATGAATCTGCAAGTCCGCACAGCCAATATGAACATGCATCCAATACTTTTGTTCAAACTAAAACTACATGAGCAGATTTTCCATACCTGGCATAGGGATCTGAAGAACATGAATCCTTCAAAGTTCTTCGCTTCATTTCAGCACCTAGTGAGCTTGTTTTTGCTGATAAAATCCTTTCATAGAGAATCTGATCAATGATGCATACACTCATTCAGGAAAGTCTCAAAAATCAAAACTGGACACAATAAAACCTAAACACCTATTCTTACTTGATGAAGTCTAAAAAGCACGTAGAAATTGTCATTTCCATAGAATAGCCGGGAATCTTTCCCCCCTCCCTTAAGCAGAGGAGTTGTTACATGCTTTGAAAGGGGCTTCACTGAGGAAAGGAAGCGTTCTGAGAGGGGCAATGGGTTGCTATCTCCTCCAACAGAGTGTGCATCAGCAGCCCCCTCAGCCTCACCTTCGCTCTCGGACTTACCATCAGCTTCATCACGCTCTAAATCATCCTCCTCTTCAGGCTCTTCATGGGAGCATGCATCTCCGGCAGAATCACTGCCTGAGACATCTCCACCAGTTTCAGAAACATTTTCGCTGTCTTCATCATCAGCATCTGCATCATTGTCTCCACCATCCTGGCCAGCAACGTGGTTGAGGTTACCAGATCGACCCTCTTGTCTGTCAATATGGCGCCTTGTCTCGGTTAGAGAGTTCACCGCATACAACTCAAGGTTCTCCTCCTCAAATTCCTCATTTGGTGATAACTCACCCTCTTCTTTTTCAAATTTGGATGGTCCAACAGTACCTACTTGATTCCAGCTGATGTTCACACTATCTTGAAGTATTCCATGAACACTCGTCTTTGCAACAGCATTGCCCTGAAGCCGCAAATCAAGCTATAACATGAACATGTCCTTCCCACATAAGAGGGAAAAAGATGAGAAATTGAGAATTACACGACAAAAGGATTTGTGAGGTGTTACTGTTTGGACAGATTTAAGTGGCAACCGTACTACTACTTTAGTATAGACGGGTATAAATAAAATTAAGGAAAGCGGCAGCAAGATCATACCTCCGATAATGGTACAGAGTCCTGAATACCTTTGGATTCATGGTCTTTGCTGGCAGTATCCTTAGGATGGGAAGGAAGAGCACTGGAACACGAACCTTGAAATATCAAAAGCATCATTATGGGTAGATAATGTCTGTCAAACTCCAAAAGATTATAATTCCACTGAATTAAGCGTTACCTGGTATTGCCTCTACACTGATTCTCTCATGACTGTTCTCTGAAACAAGCGGCGGGGTGAATCCACATGTTTGTGCACTAGAGGTAACTTGAACATTGGAAACAGCAACTTTCTCAGACAGATCCACATCCTTTGGTTCCTTCTCAGAAAGATGAGTATCACGCACTGAATCTCTATCTGCACGTTCTGAAACTAGACAATTGTTTTCTTTAGCAGAAGCATCTCCGTCAAGCAAAGCGGCCTTGCTGACACCTGGCAGTTCTGATGAGACATTCTCGTCTGTGTTGTTCCTCAATTTTAACTGCAGCAAATTAGCTTTGGCAGCATCGGCATCAGAGGTTTCGTCACTTCCTCTTCTGCTTGATGCAGTACATTTGGTAATATTGCGCATTGCATTTCCAAGAATTTCAGCACCATCAGAGGTAGGAGGTCTAGAAGAAAATCCCAGCATTGGCTCCACAAAGGTAGCCCAAAGTCGCATTACTTTATTAAGCTGCTCTTTGGAGGAGCAAACCTCTTCGCATGAATATAGGACAAGTTTATACAAATCTTCAAGAACTTTTACGTCAGAGTATTCAAACTCCAAATGTGGGACAATAGGTTGTCTACTTCCAGCAGCAATGGCAAGGAGAACATCGTCCTCTTTTTGCTTCTTTTCTTTCAATTCCTTGATCTCAGCCACCAAAGCTGTGTACCAAGCCAAGTAGCCATTAGAGGAACAAAAAGCTACAACTACAGAACGTCCAAGGGCAATCTATTTTGAGAAACCAAACAATAAGTTAAATTCACGAGGAAACTTTAAGACCAGCCATTACAATATACAGTCGACATAGAAAGCTTTCAATAGCATTACAAAAAATACGAGGGATAAATACAGGAAATATATCATAACTATTTTATAAGTAGCAAGATCTGGTAGTTTTTCCCCACTGATTTTAGTATTTCAAGGAAAATTACAATTGATAAACACTATGCTCATGTTGAAAAAAGATGGACCTGCTAAAAAGGGTCATCTCATATGTACTTTTACAATTTGGAGGCAACAACAATCTCTTCTGAGATAATTAAGAAGGGAATCAGATGCTTCAAATATTAAAGAAACACAATAACACGTCACCTCTTTTAGAACATAAAGAAATGTGGCCTGCAAAAACTGTATACAATACAAAATATGCAAAGGAGAAGGCACTATTTCAAGAAAATATCAGGCAAAAACCAACCGCCACCAAAAAAATTCATTTGACGGTTTTGACTTACATTTTGTACTTAGGTTCTTTGAATCCTGCTGCTTGAAATAGAAGCTGCGATGATCAAGCGATTTGTAGTGGTTTTTAGCATATATTTCAGCCCAAATCTTGTTAAAATCTGAACGACACCTTGTCCATTCGTCCTGTTTCTGCTTAAGGCGAGCCAACATGACAGGCAACGAAACAGCAGGATTTTTGCGGAGGATGTCCATTACATCCAGACCATGGTCACCATATAGACGCTCGATGCATCGTAGATTGAGAGCTGTAAAATAGAATGCATAAGAGAGCCAGTTGCTTGTAGCTAACTATTAAAGTACTCAACTAGGTGGTACAAATCAAATTGAAGCTCGAAAAAACCATATGACACACAGACCGGTGAAGTAATTTTCAATTTGAATAGGAGTCTCCAAGTTGTTAATATTCTCGTTGATGTTGTTCAAGACTTCCTCTGCCCTTTTCGCGGTGGAGCTCACAGATTCTAACAGCATGTCCAGCTCAAATCTGCAGCCAATAGAAAACACTCTCATGACCCTTGCATAATGAGTATCAAAAGACAACCACTAGAAAAATCATTGTTGAGCAATCTAGTCCACATTTCACAGAGGTTTCAAGTAAATAACAAGTAATCATGTGTTGAGAAATCACGTAGTAAAACCAACACAAGATTGCAAAAAACTTTGGCCTGAGTTATGTGCTTTGACAAGGTCAGAAAATAAATAGGATCCATGGGTGTCCTGGCCCTTCTAGGATGGTCCATGTTTGACCAGAACCTAAACTTGACTTGATCCTGACATATCCACTTGTAACACTTTCCGAAAACTTAGTCATAATATTTCAGGAAAATTCCTCAGAACAACTAACAAAGCAAAAGCAAAGATTTCATACAGAAAAAGACAGACAAATTTATTGAATAATTGGTGCAGCACCCACTCATCAAGTTCACTGATGTGCTCAGTCCCTTCTGCAACCCTTTTCTGTAATAACCAATATATAAGGGATAACATGGAGGATATGATCTATTCTAAGTCCTCTCCATAGCATGACCACGCAAAGAAAGCGTGACCACGCAAGGTCAAGAGAAAGATACATAGCGTCCCCTGAGTTGCCAAATGAACCAGCCCCACTCCAATTTCAAGCTAGCATGATGTAGCTTTTACAAAGTGAAAAATATGATGGCATGTTGATGTAGATGCCAAACAAGGACATCTTATAACGCAAGAAGATGTACTATGTACAGGCAAAATGCCAGTAGAGTAATCCAACGCTTTTACCTGTCATCTTCACATCTGAATAAACTTTCTTCATACTGATTCCTGCGCATATGTTTGAACGAGTAATCCTCACTACCTGACGTCACAGATACCCAATGGTCATTGAGTACTTGAGCACCAAGCTCTGATCTCTGGCTGACTGAAGGAATTGGATACTGCAGAACACCAAGCAGCAACCAGGTTATGTTAAAAATATGAATTTCTATAAACAGCTAAGCTAAGAAACGCAAACCATTTTATACATCATCTGGTAGAAGCCGGTAACTTGGGGTACAGCGTTGACAGTTAGACAAGTCCAGCTCTTGAATGGATTTGAACATATACTTGTCTTTGCATCTTTCCTTATCTTTGGCTCCGTCATTCTCGCGCTTATGTTCTTTATCTTTATCCTCTGCCTTTGCTGTCCAGGACATGTGCCCATCAGTAGAGAGCGACCCTTCATCCAGTAAGCAACCAACATCAGATTTTGCTACAAAGAGGAAACATATAAAATATGGCAAAAAATTATTTGAAGAGGAGAGGTGGATAGAGGTGATACATACTTTTACTCACAATACCAGCAAGAAAGCCATCTGGAAAAGGAGACTCGTTAATAACCAAAATTACTCTATAGACATGTAGACGAATTATATAAATAACGAATCTCAAGAACAACCGATATTCTCACAGCGCTCCAAAAAGCCATTGAATTCTTCCATGAGATCAGGATACTTTCCAAGCAGATCTGTCACCTAAGGAGATAAATAAAACATGTATGAATAAAACATTTTTCCCATGATATTGGAGAAGTCAAATTAATCCACAACCAAGGACAGATCCATGAAAACTCAAGGGTGGGGGGGGGGGGGGGGGGGTTGGGCAACTTCAATATAAATAGTTTATTCCTGAAAACAAGTTCAATACAAGTAACAAATCAGTAACTGCTTAACATAAAGTTCAATAAATAATATATATGAAAGTTTAATAAATAATCGTCTATTAAAGAAGTGTGACTTTACATTTGGTGACAAATGAGTGAGTTTTCAATTCATAAATGGGTCATTTTTTCTAAAAAAAAGAAACAAGTTTACGAGGATTATGAAGGGAATTTACCAAAACACGATAGAAATAATTCTCTCAAGAATCCCAAGACTGAAAGAAAAGAAAAGTCAGAACAGAAGAATCTAACACCACTCATACAAAGGGCCTTATAAAGCCAAAAAGAACTAGGCCAATATATAAACTACATATATACACATCATATGAATTATAAATAGGAAAAAAAAATTTCAAGCTCAACCGTCACCCAGATTATCTACGAGTGTGTCCACTTCCATATGGATTTTGTTAATTAATGTTGAATAGATGTTCTTGAAGTTAACGAATAAGTTGAGTAATGGAGACAGCACATTTAGCATTTCATAAGCCCAAGGTAAAATTCAGACAAAACAATATAGATGGCCAAAGGAGAATAAATGGTTCTGCACAGCAATTGTAAGCAATCAACAAACACACATGAACATCAACATTCTCACGAAACTAACAGATAACGGATCCAACCGATTGCCATTTGTCAGTAACTTCGTAATAATAAAATCTCATTAAAAACGAAAGGAGTCTTCTAGATCTTCTTTTAAATCCCATAGTGCAATATAAGAGAGGGTTGCTCTTCTAGTAGTCTCACACATTTCTCAACAATAAAATTACTGTTTGCAAATAATATTTAGCACTGCAAGCATATCATCATAGTGGACCTGAGAATATTAAAGGGAATTGAAAATATTTAATTGGGAAAGATTGGAACCATTTAATTGGGAGTTGACTCCTTAATTGTTTTGGTGTGTTTGTGATAAAAAAAAATCATTTACGCAAAGTGCCAAGTTTCAAATTACCTTATCAATCAAACCAGAATGACCTTCTTATAAGCAAAGGAGTTTAGGGAGCATAGGTAGAGGACTGTTGCATACAGACAGAAAGAGCGGTCCCAAGCTACAGAAAACACATACCAAACTTTGTAAGTCGTTTTTCCTTATAATTCCACTGCTGTACATATGAAGGCACTTCAAAAAGGCCTGATAATCTTCTGAGCTGCACAATCTCTCCTTGACTTTTTCACAGAAAATGAATCCTTGGTTATACATGCCTGCCAAAAATTCATGGTCCAAATGAAATAGAAGCAACACAAACACATTAATTATGAACTGGGTTAAAGAAACATGATGCACGGAGTTGAAAGTTCTAACTTTTAAGCAAACACTGACAAAACATAAGCTACAACTGAAAGTACAGACAAAAGCAGGTATCACGTCAACAAAAGGAAACCAATCACAGTGGAACAAGTTCCCGTGCTAATCCCTTTTTTAAAAAACACTTGCAAGTGAGATAAGACAAATCTTTGAAGTGAATCTGCTTACCTTTAGCTGTGACTCCTGTACAGCTACAGTAAACATAGAAGACAAATAACATACCCTACACCACATCTGACTCTTTACATGTACAGGTAGTTTATACAAAGACATTTAAACTCATCAAAGATGCCAAAAGTGCATGTTAAAACAACAAATTAAAAGAATTTAAATAACAAAGAAACACTAACATAGGCAGATATTTACACGAGTGGTGTCTCTCAATGTTGGAATAAGTTGTATTGAACTGTACCTCTTATATACAGATGTCTCTGAAGCACCATGCATAATTTTCGATAAAGAGGATGAAGTACACAGAGGTAATTGACAAAAAAAATCTATATGTACTCCTCTTCCCATCAAATTCGTAGAAATAAGATGATAGACAAATAAAAACTACAACGAAAATTGCCTAGGTGTAAAGCTATTTATATCTATTTAACAGAATGGAAAAAGAATTGACAAGATGCAGGTGCTATTGCATCATATGATTGCATAATTTACTTACTCTTTAGAGCATCCCTGTCTTCACTTAAAGAAGTCATTCCATAGTTTTCAACCTTCCTTGCAGATTTTCTTTTGTCGGGAAAGCGCTGCGAGTTGAAATCCCTACTAGTGTCATGCTCAGACTCTCTATCATCCACTTCACGGTTTCTCCTGTCCCTGTTATCCTTCTCAAATCGCTTTCTTTGATCCTTCTGTACCTTCATCGTTGCTTTATCATCGTCCAAATCAGGATGATCAACATTTATATCATGCTCAGCATGAGCATTGATAATCCTATCTCGCCGCACTCGTTGCTGACCAAAAGAGGAAAAGGAAAACCATTATTGTGCTGCAGTACATCCATGAAGGAGCATCCAAACACAAAAGGAGGCAAAACATTTACCTTATCCATTTGCATTTGCCGCAAGGTCGGTGTAGTAGAGCTACGTTCGTGTTGACGCTGAAATGAATTCCTGGCATAAGGAAAGTTGTGTGTGGAGGCTGTTGCTGAATTATCAGGCAAGAATTTGGTGAATTCCTCAAGTAAGTCTGGATGGTCGCCAAAAAGGTTAGCAACCTGCAGACATCAAAAAAAAAAAAAAAAAAAAACAGAAGATAACCAAAAAGAACAAGTTAATACTCCAGGTACTTCAGACCGTGCTAATACAATTAAGCCTACATATTACAGCAGGAGTTTCTGATTATATCAAACTTGTGATATTTTGTTACAGAACCAATATATTCTGTATTGTACGAAGCACATGGAGCTGCATTTACCTCACTGTAGACCTCATTAATGTCCTTGTGCTCCTTCCGGTACTTATTGAGTATGTCCAAAAATGATTTATAGACATGCTCATCATTTTGGAACCGTTTCTGGAGCCAGGAGACACAATATCAGAATTTGATTGTGCCCCTTCAGTAAAAAAAGACAATTCGTTCTATACCTTGATCTTATTAACAAATGAGATGGCTTCTTCAAATTCCACATTCTTTTTCGTTGGTGTTTCATCCTCATCGGGGGATATTTCAAATCCCTTTGGCAAGAAAGTATTAAATCCCAGAATTAATTTGTTATGCCCTTTAAATAATTCCTTTACTCTTGCTATGACTCCCGTAGTGTCAGTCCTGCAAGATACCAAAAAGTACATGAATGAGAAGCTGTTAAACCTTTAATAATCCTATCGTCACCAAGATGTTTATGGTTGTACCTTTGAGCCTTGAAATCTTTCATAACCTCGAGGAACATGTCGTACTTTTCCCTTTGATCTTGAAACATGTCCTTCACTTCCTTAAGGTATGTCAATGCATCATTTGTCGTTAGTTTCTGTGATGCGCTACCTCCACCTACAGCCCCGCCTCCACCATCCATAGCTCCTGTTCCTGTTACTTGGGACTGCCCATAGCTTCATCACGAGAAAACATTAAATCATCAATTGGAAATACCATCTCTCCCAATAACAAGTACCATTCCAAACCTGTGCTTGCATACAACATCCTAAAGTTGTCTAGTCCCAAAACTTGTTTCTCTTTTCCATGATCTTTTTCTTTTGTGTTAGGAATAAGAGTATTTGCACGAAATCATGGATATGGATATCAAAATTGCGATCTCCGCCGACTGTCCCCTTAGATATATTCGGCACAGTTTCGTTTGTATCATGATTAGCAGTTTTAAAATTACATCTTTTTCACATCTCAGAAGAGGGTAAAAACAGAACACAACAAAAACTTCCCTGCAAAAAGCTTCTAGGTAAATTCTGCAGATGTACACAGTCAGGCATAGTCAATTGATCTCGATCGGAGGTAAGATCCCGAAAATATTAAAACTTGGGACTTCAAGAAGCTTGGACAAGCTTATTATCACATCTCACGAGGTCTCACAAAGCATATTACATCTGAAAGTTTAAGTTCGACCTAAACCGATAAACGATCTCCAAGTGGGTCAAATTCATTATTTCCCCCAGGAACAAATTGTGAGGACATGTCTCAGACATCTTGCGTCAGAACAACATAGACATAATCGAAATGCATGAACAGGCAAACTCGTCCAAACCAACCAACGGAGTGGAAACAAGATCGAAAATTTTTCAAACCCGATGGAACAGAACCGGCACAAATCATACGGAAGAGCAAAAGCAAGCAGCCGAAACTCACTACTCTCCACGTGAGGAACCGAAAGGCCGTTTGAATTGCGAACCCGGGTACACGTCATCTCTCGTTCTCTTCATCCCTGCACAAAAGGAAGCAAACCCAGAAAGCTTAATCCGTCGCCCCTGCCTCCAAACACACAAAAAGCAAATCACTGGGACAGGAATTGAGCCCCAGAATTCGAAGAGAAACCAACACCTGGTAGGTCTCTCGAATCTTTATATCAGGCTAAGTGAGAGAACGAGCAGATCTCGAACAGGGAGAGCGAGAAGAAGGGCACACAAAAGTTTGAAGCTTTTGATCGAGAAGAGACCATAGCACAACATTTATGTGCTACCCTCTTCGCTCTCGTGCCTAAGGAAGGAGTATACTTACGAGAAAATTTTTCTCTCGAGAACACGACAGAGCCAGAGAGAGAGAGAGGAGAGAGACAGAGACAGAGACAGAGAGGAGAGGCGTTTTGCTGGTTTTTGTATGGAGAGAAAATTTCACTTCCTTGTGGGAAGCAAAAGGCCCATCAAGCTTAGAATTTGCAAGAGGAGCAAAAAAAACAATTACAGCATTTGCAAACCATTCCAGCTTAAAAAACATTCAGATTTTCTTGCCCGTAGGTGATTGGCCGAGTGATAAAGGGTCAATTTTTTTTTTTTCCGCTAATGGATTGTTGAAGCCGCGGTGATGGGCTTGCCAACCTCGGACCTTCTTGTCATGGGGTGATGCGAAGTAACAAGATTTAATTTAGCAGGTGCAAGACGCTTATGGTAACCCTAGCCACAGTCGCTAATTTTGGCCACCGCGCTTCTCTTTTTTACATTGTGGGCCATGTCTGTGGATGCGGTTATTTATTGGGTCGCTAGATTTAACATGACGGGCTTACTCAAAATAAGTCGGACTTTATAGATATCTTGACTCTAAATCCCGCATATAAGAAAAATTTCTAATTTAGGAAGTAAATATGAAGAAAATCAGATTATTTTCTGCTGTAATTGGGAAGTAGATATAAAGAAAATCAGATTATTTTCTTGTAAGGGCCGAAGAGGATAAAGATAGATACGTGTGATTCTTAAAGTATGAGAGCTCCACCTCCGATTAGTGCAATCAAGATCCATATTCCCACCATCTCACATTGTGAGATAACGGGAAAATTATCTAATCAGTCTTAAATCTATTTTATGAATGTCATTTCAGTCCTAAATTTTTAAAATTTATCAATTTAATCTTAAACTTTTGTGCGAAATATCAATATAGTCCTTTCGGCCAAATTTTGTCGGAAATTGATGATGTTATGATATGCTTAATAGGGCAGTCGGTGATGATTGGATCACTGCGGTCGGTGATTTTCAATGAAATTGAAAGGACTACATTGGAGTTTCATGTAAAATATAAGAACTGAATTAATATTTAAAATTGATTAGATAATTTTCTCATAAGATAAACTATTCTTAAATGTCTGACAAGCTAGTTCTTGTAAGCTTGATCTACTATGCCAAAAGGACATGCTTGTGAGTTGAAGTTCGAAATTACCGTCGTTAAGGAAATATTCAATGGTTGTCGCCTGGGGAAATTGTTCAATCAATCCTAAGTCTATTGTGCTGATGCCAATTTAGTCATAAACTTTCTAATTTTCCCACTTTAGTTATAAACCTTTGAGTGAAATTTTAATATAGTCATTTCAGCCAATTTTTGTCAGAAATTGGCGATGTGGCGATGTGGCGATGTGCCATGTAGGACGACCGGCGATGACCGAACTGCCACGTAAGTGATTTCCGACGAATACTAACCAAAAGGACTTCATTGAAATTTCACTCAAAAGTTAAAATTGAATTGTCCAAACTGAAAAGTTTATGACTAAATTAACACCCACACAAATTTCATGACCAATTTGTTAATTTTCCCGTTGTCGCATGTTATGGCATCGGTTGATACGTACATTCAACTACTCATTACATGAGTCGTGAAAGAATCGCCTTCCTTATTCTTCTTGTTAGCTTGAATTTGCATTCCATCACGTTGATGTTGTTTCGTCGCTAATTCTTGCAAATTATGGGATCTGATCTACCAGAGTAGCAACTTTGGATACTAATTCTCTGCTCGAGTCATATACATCAAATTTACGGATTATATTAAGTCATGTTATAAATACATAATTAGCCCGTTTTTTACCAGTTTTAAAGTTTTTTAGAAATATAATTTCTTCAACATGGTATCAAAGCACAAGTCAAAGATTCGAATCTCGACACTATTTCTTGCATGTTTTCATGTTCCTTGCCGAAAACGGGCCAATAATATATTTACATAATCTGACTAAACAGCTTGAATGGCATGATGTGTCAAAATCAAAATCAAATTAAACGATTGGAACCACTTCCGATTTCTTTGAAATTTTTTAAGTAAGCTGACCTAGGGTTTGGGTTGCTAGCAAAGACAAAATATCACCCTTCACCAATTCGCATCAAAATCTCTCTACGCTGCTTCTACCAAATTCTCCATTAATCATATTAGAAGTACTATATAGCTAGACTCTGTACTCATAAACAAATTGGTAGGCGAATAAGAAGAATTTCTTTATTTTCAATAAGACTCGCACGATAGAATAAGTTAACAAACTAAGTTTTGCTGTTGCACGATATAAGATCTACATTATGAATACAGTTACATTACTGATGCAATTCTATTTATTGTTTCACTAATAAATAGTTAAAGCGGATACGAAAGAAGTTTTGCTTTTTATATAACATTCTTAATAACGCATTATATTTACCGACTATTATAAGAAATTACCAAACTTTTTTTTGAGTGATTTGCCAACTTTTCTCCGATTAACTTGCTTACTAGTTTTGGGTTACCAACACTCCATTTCAGTTACTCGCCAACACTCATTAGATTATTTTATGTTTACTAACTAATTTATTCAATAATCACTTTTATTTGCTTTGCTTATCGATCCTTTTCTATGATTGACTTACCAAATAGTTTGCATTACTCTATTCTCATTTGAGTTAGTTACCAACATTTTTTGGGTTTTTTTTAATTACCAATTTTACTTATTTCTGATAAAAAAATAGTTTTATCTTTTACAAACTTTTATTTACGTCTCTTACCAACTTGCGGAGCGCACGACGCGGCCGAGTTTTAAGAGCAAGGGGTCGAGAGAGGCAATTTTGTTTGTTTGTTTTACGAAAAATCAACAATTTGGAAAATAGATTTTTAAAAACGATTGATGTTATATATTGCAAAAAAGAATGAACAAAAAATTTCTTTGTCACCAATGAAAATATTTCGACATTGATAATGAAAATGTTCTTTGTTCACTAATTTTTCGAAGCGATAAAAAATATTTTTCGATTTCAACTTTCTCGAAACAAACAGGAGGACCAGCTAAGGTTCATTAGTGATTCTTTCTTCGGGAGATTTGTTTCTAATCGATGGTTCTTGAGGCACGACTTTCTGTTTTAGATGTTCCCATCCAATTTTTTAATTTTTTTCTAAGAACATAACAAAAGAAAATCTGTAATAAAACAAAATAATTTTACCCAAAAACTTATCTCGCATTAATTTGACTATCAACAAGACCAAGACTACAGCGGCAAAAATACAAAAAAAATGAACAAAATTTTCTCCCTTTCGATTCTTTGTTTCTTTCATGCACAGCCTATCAGCCTGTATACGAGTCCCAGGGGCAAACTTTGAAGCTTTGTTCCTTGATCTCAATTGACTGTAAAGTTTCGTATGAGTTCATGAGCACGACCGCAGCAATAGAAAGACGAAGAAAGCCGCTCTCTGTTGTTATTCTCCTAGAAGTTGAATTTTCCTTGTCTTGTAACCCTTGAAACGTATGTCCAAGAAAGGCATAAACAGCTGATGGGATTCGAGAGATCTGTCATTTGTACGGACCAGAATAGATCTAAGCACTAAACATTAGTTTATACAGTTGATCAAGATTTGTGGTTTTGAGCTCCAGCTTATAGTTGAATTGGAAAAATGCTTGAATGCATATCGATTATCAGAAGATGTTTTCGGCGACCGATATTATTCCGAAAAACAAAGTAAATCGGTATTCTTGACGATACAAAGTAAAATAAAAAAACGAAGGAAAAAGAAAATTCAACAGGAGTAGACAAAAGGGCATAGACAAATTATTCCGCTCAAAGCACACGCCAAGTGATCAAATTGACTAGGAACATATACATTACCCATCTTGGTCAAGAGTGATGAAAATAAGTTTGTTTTATTCTTGTTATTTCCTTGTCCCAGAAATGGATTACATGAAATGATAGAGCTGATCTCTTACAAACCAAATGCAGGAAACTAATTCCCTCTATTGATCCATAAAGCAAGAAGGAGAACTAATACAGCGAGAACTATATATATTGCTGAAATCCTCAACAGAATGAGTCCCTTGAAATGATGCATCTCGTCCTCGTGCACCTTCATTATTTCCTCATCGTCGCCTAGATCGGGGCGATCCACAGTAACTAATCCATCCTCAGCTTGAAAATCGGCAATCCTATCTCGGCGGGTTCTATCCTAAACAAAGACAAGAGAGAAAGGAAAAATCATTCAGCGCAATGGTACATCTAATCGAAAGACCAGTCAAACAACCAATCATCATACCATGTCCAATCCGCGCGAGGTCAGTGTGGTGATAGAGCTGAGCTCCTCCTGATCCTGAAAGCTTTTAGGCAATAAGCTCTTGAATTCCTCGAGCAAGTCCGGATGGCCGGCAAAAAGGCTTGCAACCTATGGACATTACGAATGATAGATCAATTTTTTTTAGCCTACATAGCATGTCCAATTACATTAAGATACTTTGACATCCAAACAAGAAATCGTGCGCACACAAGGAAGCACTTGGAACTGCATTTACCTCATTGTAGACCACGCTAATTCTGCTGTTCCCACGCCCGTACCTATTGAGAGCGTCCAGAAACGATTGATAAACATTTTCCTCCCTCTGGAAACACTCCTGTGCCCACGCAAGACATGAAAATGAATTTACTATCAGTGATGTACTTGCGTTCAACCCCGAAAGACAAAAGTGATGCCATACCTTGACCTTGTAGACGAAACCGATGACTTCTTCGAAACTGACACGCTTCCTAGGTTCGTCCGGCACTATTTTGCATCCCTCCGGCAAGAAAGTATTGAACCCATGAATCAATTTGTTATATCCTGTGAATAATTCCTTTGCTCTTGCCATGACTCTTCTCGTATCGATTCTGCGAGATACCGAAGAATGGAATGAATAAGAAGTATAAATCATTGATAATCATATAGTCGCCACATGGTTCATGATTGTACCTTTGAGTCAGGAAATCGTTCATAATTTCCAGGAACATATAGTACTTTTCTGGATGATCTTGGAACGCGTCCTTCACTTCCCCTAGAAATGACATAGCGTCATCAGCTGTTAGTCTCCGCGACGCTCTGCCTCCGGCATCTCCCTCCGTTCCTCCTTGGGATTGTCCATAGCTTTAGAACCAGAACCAGAAAAAAAGAACGAACTATCAAATTCAAAATAACATCTTTAAGAGTGCTCTCATACAAAACGAACCCACGACGGGGAAGAAAGTGAACTTTTCAGCACTATACAACAAGACTGGAAAATATAATATTGAAGATAAAAATAAACTCACTGTTCTCCACGTGAAGGGTGAACGGCATCTCTTGTTCTCTCCATATCTGCACAACACAAAACCCCAAAAGCTCTTTCTTTTACCTCAAGCAAAGATTATCACTTAAACAGAAAGCCCCCAAATTCAAAGAGAGACCACACCTAGAGCTTTCTCAGAGTGAAAAATGAGCAGATCTCTGAGATGAAGAGAAGGACCAAGAAAATGTGATGCTTTTCAATGAGACCTTAGCACAATTTATATGGGTTTTGTCAGCATGGTTAAGGAAAGTCATGTCGATGGATCAGGCTTCCCATTGGATTCCTAGTAATATTTCATATTTGGCTAGCCTACAACTTTTGGCGCGCATTTTACCAAATTATGATGCATGGAGAGAAATCGCCACTAGGCAGGTTGTGTATGATGCATTTGTTACATGGAAGCAAGCACTTAAGAATTGGGGTTTTTCTCCTTCATCTGATTGTTTTGACTGATGCATTTAATAATGAAATCATTAAATTTAAATAAGCGGCTCACTTGACAATGGAAAAGGTGATGTGCTTTTTATTCTTTACGAGACATCGAATATCGTTAAGTTATACGTAGTAGAATCTTAAAGTTTTAAAACCATTAAATTTAAATAAACGGCTTACTCGAAAATGGATAATTGAAGGTGACTTGCCTTTTATTCTTTACGGAGCATCTAATATCGGAGGTGATGTGCTTTTTAAATTTTACCACATCTTGGTTAATCTTTTAATCCTTTTAAAACGAGATATTGCTCGTTTCTACATGTAAGATCCTTTAAGCTTCATTGAGTCAATAAAGAGGTTCTAGCTCCAGCATCCCTTTTTTCAGCTGTTCGCAAGATGCCATTTTCGGGAAAATTCTCAACGATCCCATTACATTGCCGTCCTTGGTCAAGGATATTAAAGAAAAACTCAAAACGCAGCAAAGGAAAGCCAACCAGAGAACACCCAAGACAGATGTCAGAGATGAATATGGAAACACGGGTCTCAATTCAAAAATGCATCTTTCTGAATGTAGAAGTCTCATAATTCTCACGTCGAAAAGATCTCTAATTTGGGAGGTAATCGCATATGGAAAGAAATCTAAGTGGTTATCCTACTCGAATTCAATATCCTTTAGGAAAAGAAGAGCAAGACCCCGAGTTTGCTTCGAAATGTTCTCATATTGGATCAAAGATAGAGAGCATAGATTTCATGAACTAAAAATTTCTGCGGTTGTGTTCGGTTTATGTAATCATCATTTTTATTTTAAGAAACTTGCGAGCCATGTGGTTACGTTTATATGATTTTTTTTTATGTTTTTAAAAATGAAAACTTGGTTTTAATATTAAGGGTTAATACCGCGAAAAACCCTAAACTGGTACATCCGTGACAAATTTATCCCAAACTAATTTTTGCCCATGAAAAACCCCAAACTGATATGTATGTGACAAATTTATCGATAACTAATTTTTTAACCATGAAAAGCCATAAATTGATATATTTGTGACAAATTTACCATCCGTTAAATTAAAGTAATACCACGAAAAATCACAAATCAGTACACCTATGACAGATGGAAGGTAAAACCACAAACCGGTATACCCATCAACTGCCACATGTCATCTAACTAAAAAAATTTGATGGTAAAATTTAACGAAAACTAACGGAGGGTAAAATTGTCACATGTGTACAAGTTTGGTGTTTTTGATGATCAAATAATTAGTTTTGGGTAAATTTGTCATAGGTGTACCGGTTTAGAGTTCTTCGTGGTATTAACCCTATTTAAAATGGGTTTTCGTCCTTCAATCAATAATGAGTTTCTTAACAATAACGTCGTCGTCACGGAGGTAAAAATGAGTGTAAGTTTTCTTTAAGATATAAATAAAGTTGGGGGAAATATGTATTGCTTTTGTTAGTTCTAATTGGCTCACTTTTTTGTTTCGATTTGAAAATGTTTGGGAGGAGAGAAGGTTACCCCATGCTAAAACTATGGCATATTACAGCCCTAGAAGGTCTTATAGTGGATTTATGGATCGCCTACCAAATGGGATTGTCGGCAGCAAAATTTGAACTTTTGAGCATAGTGTGTGGAAGGTTTGAACCTTATCAGCTAAGCCAATTCACTTTGTCAAAACATAAAAAAAAAAATATAATCAGTGCATGGTGTGCCAAACCTTATTTGTAATAGTCACGTATTAGAAGTATTTATAATTTGACATCACAAAACATTACTTCGAGTTAAGAAATATTTATATAAACTTGAATAAAAAAAGTCAAATATGAATGAATCAAAATGGCGCCTTCGTTTATAAGATATCAAAATTGAATGATCTGAGACATATACATGGTTAATTCTTTTGCATTTGGTTTACATAAAATGATATCGTCCTCTAACTGGGGTTGCTAAATGTGATATCATTAGCTAATACGATATTTAACTACCGGTTGCAACAAATCATGGGCTTTTCTTTTACTTCAAAACTTGGATTCATTGCTTTCTTTTTTTGAGCCGTGGATATTAGATTCATTATGTTGATAATGAATTATCATGCCATAAAGTAGATACGAAATTCATTAATTCATCGGCATGATGTGTTAAAGAACATTGAAAAACTAGAGGTTGCTGATCTTTTGGGTCTTCTGCAAAAATGCGTAATTTAGTAATCTGGGCTACTTATTAACAGATAAGTTTGAGGGATTGATCTCTCTTTATGTTTTCATAAATAACCTTGCGACAAGAATTAAAAGTGAAAAAAGAGAGAGTAATAACTAAACATGGTTAATTAGTCTGATACTAATTAACATGTGGTTACTGATAATGAAGGAAGTGCGTAACTTCACTAATCCCACTCTTAAGTAGTTAATACCACTACCAACCATTGGGTAATGACTAAATGACTGATTGCAATATGATAAGATGTGCAGGTTTGCTCTCCACTTGTCACTTTAAGTAAATTGTATGGATTAAAAAGCTGTTTTGAATGTCGGAAAGCCTTAAGATGGAGATTGATGTTATTTGGAGATTAACAGGCCGTCCCATTTAATGACCGAGAGGAAGGGCTTGTGGGTTGGGAAAGCATACCCATTTTGAATCTCCATTAGTAATACCTCAGAAAATTCTCTTCATGGAGACTGAGTAGTTGTGGGAAAGCATTTTGTTCCAAAACAGTGTCCTCACTGGAGTAGATGTTTTTACCTTCGACACTGAACGATGTGTGTGTTGTGTTAGTGCAGAATGTTCTTTCCTTCCTATTGCATGTCGCGATTGGTTTAAGGCACCGGAGATACATGGGTTTGTGACATCTCTGTTTGCTGTTACAATTATGGTTCATGGCTTTCATATATACGAGTTAAGAAATCATCACGACCGACTTCTAGTGACGCACCTCGACCCTCCTCACCTGTCACTGGACATCTAAATGTACTAGATTGTCTGCTCCGCCTCCCATTCTCCCCTATTCCATCCCACTTCCAGTGTTACTTCTGACGTTAAAAAGAGAAAAAATCCACAGAATGCATATCAATCATCAAAAGGCATTCTCGGGCAACCAATATCATCATCACAAACAACCAAAAAAAGGATTGAGCATGTCACGTTAGTGCGTAATATTCCAACTAAGGTAAAATTACCTAAGCACTCCTAATTTATTATATGGATATCAATGTAGTTTTAGACTTATTGTGCGGATGTCAAGCCCGAGCTCAGCTGGTGAGGTCAAGCCTCAGATATCAGAAATGAGGTCGAGCGAGCCCTAGATCTCAGTTGAGCACCACCAAGCCTGAGATCCGAGGCTCGCACTTTATAAGCCTCGATCTTGGCATGGGCTTGTTCCTTCTCGAGTTGTGGTTCCGCAAACATTCGCTTTCCCTCACCTCCTCGCCACAGATTTCCACCGCCCATGCCTCTGTTATAGACCGAGGACCCTCGCCTCAAAACTTTACTTGCGCGGCAGTGGTTCATAATCCCCGTCGTCGAGCCCAAGCTCAGCCAGTGAGGTCAAATCACAGATATAGGATATTAGGTTAAGCAAGCCGGAGCTTAGCCAGCTGAGCACCACCATGCTGGAGATCTGGGGCTCGCGCTTGATCCAAACCTCTATCTCGGCTTGGGCTTATTCCTTCTCGAGTTGTGGCTCTGCAGTCATGCCTGAATATGATTCTCTGGTGTTGTCACATCTGGAATTGATGTTGTTATTAAATGAAATTGCTTAATAGTTGGCTGAATTGTATTAGTGCCGTGGGATGGAGTTTCTGCAGAAATTAGAACACGCCAAGTTGTTTCTCTGATCTGAAGGTGGAAATGATGTCTCCCACTCTTGAGATGCTGCAGCTGTAACTTGGAATAACTCATGTTGATTGAGTTTGTTGTTCATTAAAAATGTGTAATAGTTGGCTATTGCGGATCTTCAAATTGATAGTGGAGGAAGGAGGAACTCCACACTAAAATGTGCGTCGATAATGGGGGAGTCGGAGAAGAAATGTAAAGAAATTTGACCCGTCGGATCGGAGAAGAAGATGAACAGTTACCATATATGTTACGGAAAAAATATTGAGAACTAAAAAACGTAGACGAAAACGGCTTTGTTTTGCCACGTCAGGTCTTTGGTCGTGCAACATAAAATGGTCGATCATGACTGGACGTCGCATTAGTGATTTCTGGTGACAATTGACCGGAAAAAATTACATTGGAAAATCATTAAAATGTTTAATACTACATTTGCCAAATTAAAAAAGTTTATAATTGCATTGACATCGGTACGATATGTTTAGAATTGACCAGGTAATGTTCTCTTCTCACTATGTCTAGCTAATTTTGAACCTTCAAAAGAAAAAGATAAATGTATCGAGAAACATACATAAGCTAGGAAACGCTACATAGTAAAATCCAAAATTGAAGGAAAAAGAAATTCAACATTACCTACGAAAAAACATTATTTGGGATTAGTTTTCGCCACTAGTGAAACATAACATTTCTTATCTCATAATTTTGTATTATCAACATCAATTCAAAAGTGCATAGACAAACATTCCGCTCAATGCACACACCAAGTAACTTATTGACTATTAACATGCATACATTAATCATTCTTAGCACAAGCAAATAACCAATATCCAAAAATAACCTCTAGAGTGATGTAAAAACATTAGTTCAATTTCTTTTTTATTTCCTTTATCCCATAAATTTCATTAGATGACGATCTCTTACAAACTAATTCAGAACCATAAATCAAGAAGGAAAAGTAAAACAAGGAAAAGTGAGTATATTGATGAAATATTCTTCCATAAAATGTATCCCTATGTTATGATCGACAACTCATATTAGATACATGTGTATTCCTATCGTCCTTGTGCACTTCTTCATCATGTCCTCATTATGGTCCAAATCGGCGCAATCTTTGTCTAGCTTCATCCTTGGCTTGAGAATTGACCTATCTCGACGGGTTCGGTCCAAAACAAAGACAACAAAATAGAAAGATTATTTCGTGCAACGAAAGATCTAACCGAAAGAAATGGGAGGCATAAATGGTCACCTTACCATTTGCAATCGGCGAGTCGAGTGTGGTGGTACAGTGAGCTCTTCCCCAAGCCGAAAGTTTTCGGGCAAGAATCTCTTGAATCCCTCAAATAAGTCCGGATGGCCGGCAAAAAGGCAAGCAACCTACAGACATTACGGAATCGAATGATGGACCAAATCTTTTAGCCTAGTCTATTTAGATCAAGATAGGGAAATTTTGTGGTGGAAACAAGCTAGAGATGGTGCATGCATAAGTAAGCACGTCTAACTGCATTTACATCATTGTAGACTATGCTGATTTTCCTTCCGCGCCGGTACGGATAGAGAATGTGATTAAACGAATCATAAATATGTTCCTTGTTCCGTAAACATTCCTGTATCCATACAAGACATGAAATTAAATATCGTATCAACTCAGTATTTGCCTTCAGCATTGAAAGACAAAAAGTGTGCCATACCTTGACCTTGTTCATGTAACCGATGGCTTCTTCGTAAGTGACAGGCTTCTTCTTTACTGGTAGTTCGTCCGGTGCTATTTCGCATCCCTCCGGCAAGAAAGTATTGAACCCGTGAATCAATCTGTTATGCCCTTCAAATAATTTCTTTGCTCTTGCCACCACTCTTGCTCTATCGATTCTGCGAGATACCAAAGAAAGGAAGTTAAATCATTGATAGTCCTATTGTCCCCACAAGGTTCGTGATTGTACCTTTAGATTGAAATCTTTCATAATCTCGAGGAACATGTCGTCTTTTTCCGGTTGATCTCGGAACGCGTCCTTCACTTCCCGGACGTATGACAAAGCGTCCTTCATTGTTAGTCTTCGACCCGCTTTACCTCTGGCGTCTCCCTCCATTCCTCCTTGGAATCGTCCATAGCTTCATATCCAGAGAAAAGAATGAAGGGCCAGATTCAATATAACATAACTTTTAATATCGGTTCAAATCCTATTTGAAGCATTTCTTTTCATCTATAAATATTTTGAATGACTTACATAACAAATTTATAATACGTCTTACCTTTGCTTATTCATGTTCTTTCTTATGTTCTATTTTATATTAATTTATACACATTTTTTTCGATTGAAAATTAATTTTTTTGTCAATAGAAGCCGAAAACGAAACCTCGAAGGGGAAAAAATAGCACTAAACAACAGGACTGGCAAAAATTGTTTTGACTATAAAAATGAACTCACCGTTCTCGACATGAAGGGTGAAGAACATCATCTCTAGTTCTCTTCATGTCTGCACAAAACGAAATCCGAAAAGCTCTTTATTTTTCCTCAAACAAAGATAATCACTTTAAACAGAAAGCCCCCAAATTCAAAGAGAAACCACACCTTGAGCTTTCTCAGAGTGAAAGAAGGAGCAGATCTCTGAGATGAAGAGGACTGAGAAAATTTGATGCTTTTCAACAAGATCTTAGCACAATTTATAGGGGTTTTGTGGATGTGGTTAAGGAAAGTCATGTCGATGGATTAGGTTTGCCTTTGGATTCCTAGTAATATTTCATATTTGGCTAGCCTGCTGCTTTTGCGCGCATTTAACCTAATTATGATGCATGGAGAGAAATTGCCACTAGGTAGGTTGTGTACGACACATTTGTTACATGGAAGCAAGCCTTTAAAAATCACGGTTTTTCTCGTTAATTGATCGTTTTGACGGATGCATTCATTTACGAAGCCGTTAAATTTAGATAAACGGCTTACTCCAAGATGGAAATCGGAGGTGATGAGCTTTTCATCCTTTACGGAACTTCTTAAAATTTTCAAACCGTCAAGTTTAAATAAGTGGCTTACTCGAAAATGGATAATTGGAGGTAATGTGCCTTTTCTTCTTTACAGAACGTTTGTGCTTTTTCAATATTAACATATCACGGCTAATTCGTGGATATTGAAGAAAAACCCAAAACGCAGCAAAGGAAAGCGAACCAGAGGACACCCAAGACAGATGTTAGAGATGAATATGGAAACTCGGGTGTCAATTCAAGATGCATCTTGCTGAATGTAGAAGTCTCATAATTATCATTTGGAATAGATCTCTAATTTGGGAGGTAATCACATATGGAAACAAATCCTAGTTGTTATCTACTCTGTTGTCATATCCGTAGGACAAAGAAAAGCAATACTCTGAGTTTGCTTCGAAATGTTCTCTATGTTGGATCAAAGATAGACAACATAGATTTCGCGAACTAGAAATTTTTGCAGTTGCGTTCGGTTTATGTCGTATTATCTTTTTTTTTTTCAGATTTTTTTTTCTTTTTTCTCTTTTTACTTTTCTTCTCTTTATTTTTTCTATTGTTGTTCATCTTCAACTCTACGATAAATGTTGAACTCGTACGTGGGTTTGAAATTTTTGTTCCTGTTCATCTCTCTACTAAACCTCACATGTTATTTTGATTTCTTGTTCTTCTTCACATTTGTTTCGGACGTTGCGAGCTCTCGGCAAATCTCTAATGGCCACCTATGCTCTCTTCATCTTCAATTTTTCTGCTCTCAATCTCCGCCGCAACGTTCACTTTCCCTCACCTCCTCCCCACAGATTTCCACCACTCATGCCTCTGTTCTAGACCGAGGACCCTCGCCTCTAATTTTCACTTGTGCGGCCGTGGTTCATATTCGCCGTTGTCGAGCCCAAGCTCAGCCAGTGAGGTCAAGTCTCATATATCAGATATTAGTTTAAGCGAGCCCTAGCTCAGCCGGTTGAGCGCCACCAGGCCGGAGATCCAAGGTTCGCGCTTGATCCAAGCCTCTATCTCGGCTTGGGCTTGTTCCTTCTCTGAGTTGTGGCTCTGCAGTCATGCCTGAACATGATTCTCTGGTGTTGTCACATCTGGAATTGATGTTGTTATTAAATGAAACTGCTTACTAGTTGGCTGAATTGTGTTAGTGCCGTGGGATGGAGTTTCTGCGGAAATTAGAACACGCCAAGTTGTTTCTCTGATGTGAAGATGGAGATGATGTCAACCACTCATGTTGATTGAGTTTGTTGTTTATTGAAAATGCGTGATAGTTGGCTATTGCGGATCTTCAAATTGCTAGTGGAGGAAGGAGGAACTACACACTATAATGTGTGTCAATAATGGGGGAGTCAGATAAGAAATGTAAAGAAGGTTGACCCGGAGAAGAAGAACAGTTGCAATAAATGTTAAGGAAAAAAATTGAGAACTTAAAAAATTAGACAAAAACGGCTTTGTATTGTCACGTTAGATCGTCGGTTGTGTAGCGTAAGATGGACAATGATGACCGGACGTAACGTTAGTGATTTTTGGTGACAATTGATCGAAAGGAATTAAATTCGAAAATCATAAAAATGTTTAGGATTACATTTGCCAAATTGAAAAATTTATGATTAAATTAACATCGGTACGATAGGTTTATAACTGACCGGGTTATTTTCCCTTCCCACTATATCAAGCTAATTGGGAACCTTCAAAAGAAAGAGATAAACGTATCGAGAAAGATACATAAGCTGGGAAACGATTCGTAGTAAAATACAAAATTGAAGGAAAAAGAAATTCAACATCACCTGCACGAAATCATTATTTGGAATTAGTTTTCACCACTAGTGAAACATAACATTTCTTTATCTCATAATTTTGTATTATCAACGTCCATTCAAAAGTGCATAGACAAACGTTCCGCTCGATGCACACGCCAAGTAACATATTGACTATTAACATACATACATTGCTCATTCTTAACACAAGCAAATAACCAATATCCAAGAATAACATTTAGAGTGATGCAAATACATTAGTTCAATTTATCCCAGAAATTTCAATAGATGACGATGTCTTACAAACTAATTCAGAACCATAAATCAAGAAGGAAAAGTAATACAGGGAAAAGTGAATATATTGATGAAATCTTCTTCCATAAAATGCTCCCTATGTTATGATCAACAACCCGATCCAATCGCATTCCTGTCGTCCTTGTGCAATTCTTCGTCGTATCCTCATTGTGGTCCAAATCAGCGCAATTTTTGTGTAACTTCATCCTCGGATTGAGAATCGACCTATCTCGACGGGTTCGGTCCAAAACAACGACGAGAGAAAGGAAAGATTATTCCTTGGAACAAAAGATCTAACCAAAAGAAATGGGAGGCAAAAATGATCATCTTACCATTTGCACTCGGCACGAGGTCCGAGTGGTGATACAGCTGAGCTCTTCCTCATGCCGAAAGTTTTCAGGCAAGAATCTCTTGAATGCCTCGATTAAGTCCGGATGACCGGCAAAAAGGCAAGCAACCTACAGACATTACGAAATCAAATGATGGACCAAATCTTTTATCCTGCTCTATTTAGATCAAGATTGGGAAATTTTGTAGTGGAAACAAGAGATGGTCCATGCGGAAGGAAGCACGTCTATCTGCATTTACCTCATTGTAGATGGCGTCGATTTCCTTGCCATGCTGATACATATGGAGAATGTTATGAAAAGATATGTAAATATGTTCCTCGCTCCGAAAGCATTCCTATGTCCACACATGACATGAAATTAAATATCGTATCAACTCAATATTTGCTCCAACCCGAAAGACAAAAGTTGTGCCGTACCTTGAGCTTGTGGATGAAATCGATGGCGTCTTCCAAACTGGCAGGCTTCTTCGAAACCGGTGCTTCGTCCAGTGCTATTTCACATCCCACCGGCAAAAAAGTATTGAACCCATGAATCAATCTGTTATTACCTTTAAACAGTTCCTTTGCTATTGCCACGACTCTTGCTCTATCGATCCTGATTGATACCAGAGAAAGAAGTTAGATTATTGATATTCCTATTGTCGCCACGAGGTTAATGATTGTACCTTTGAGACTTGAAATCTATCATAATCTGTTGGAACATGTCGTACTTTTCCGGTTGATCTTGGAACGCGTCCTTCACTTCCCTGACGTATGACGAAGCGTCGTTCGGTGTTAGTCTTCGACCCGCTTTACCACCGGCGTCTCCCTCCTCTCCTCCTTGGGATTGTCCATAGCTTCATATGCAGAAAAAAGAATGAAGGGCCAGATTCAAACTAACATAGCCTTTAATACCGGTTCAATTCCTATTGGAAGCAATTATTTTCATCTATAAATATTTTGAATGACTCATGTACCAAACTTATAATACGTCTTACCTTAGCTTATTCATGTTCTTTCTTATGTTCTATTTTATATTAATTCATACGCAATTTTTTTCGATTGAAAATTAAATTTTTTGTCAATAGAAACCGAAAACGAAACCTCGAAGGGGGAAAAACAGCACTAAACAACAGCACTGGCTAAAATTATACTGAATATAAAAATGAACTCACCGTTCTCCACGGGAAGGGTGAAGAACATCATCTCTTGTTCTCTTCATTTCTGCACAAAACGAAATCCGAAAAGCACTTTCTTTTTCCTCAAACAAAGATAATCACTTAAACACAAAGCCCCCAAATTCAAAGAGAAACCACACCTTGAGCTTTCTCAAAGTGAAAGAATGAGCAGATCTCTGAGATGAAGAGAAGGAACCGAGAAAATGTGATGCTTTCCAATAAGATCTTAGCATAATTTATATTGGTTTCGTGGATGTGGTTAAGGAAAGTCATGTCGATGGCTTAGGTTTGCCTTTGGATTCCTGGTAATATTTCATATTTGGCTAGCCTACTACTTTTGGCGCGCATTTTACCTAATTATGATGCATGGAGAGAAATTGCCACTAGGTAGGTTGTGTACGACACATTTGTTACATGGAAGCAAGCGTTTAAAAATCACAGTTTTTCTCGTTAATTGATCGTTTTGACGGATGCATTCATTTATGAAGCCGTTAAATTTAAATAAACCGCAAACTCCAAAATGGAAAATCGGAAGTGACGTGCTTTTTATTCTTTACGGAACTTCTTATGTCGTTAAGTTGTACGTATTAGAATCATAAAGTTTTAAAAACGTTAAATTTAAAAAAGCGGCTTACTCAAAAATGGATAATCGGAGGTCATGTGCCTTTTATTCTTTACGGAACGTTTGTGCTCTTTCAATTTAACTTATCACGTTAACATTCGTGGATATTGAAGAAAAACCCAAAACGCAGCAAAGGAAAGCCAACCAGAGGACACCCAAGACAAATGTTAGAGATGAATATGGAAACTCGGGTGTCAATTCAAAATGCATCTTGCTGAATGTAGAAGTCTCATAATTAATCCCATGGAAAAGATCTCTAATTCGGGAGGTAATCACATATGGAAAAAAATCCAAGTTGTTATCTTACTTGATGTCAACATCCCTTAGGAAAAGAAGAGCAGGAACCTGAGTTTCTTTCGAAATGTTCTCATGTTGGATCAAAGATAGAGAGCATAGATTTCGTCAACTTAAAATTTTTGCGGTCGCTGATCGATATTTCCTATTTTGAAAAAATTACGAGCCGTTTGGTGATATATATATTTATGTTTTAAAAGCGAAAAGTTGGTGTTAATTTTGAGAACGCTATTTGGATCCATTCAATAGTGTTTAGGGTTAATACCATGAAAAATCTCAAACTGGTATACTTGTAATAAATTTATCTTAAACTAATTTTTTTGACCACCAAAAACCCCAAACTAGTACACTCATGACAAATTTACCTTCCGTTAATTTTCGTTAAATTTTAACGTTAAATTTCTGAGTTGGATGACATGTGGCAGTTGAAAGGTGTAGTAGTTTGGGATTTTACCCTCTTTTTGTCACAAGTGTAATAGTTTCTAGTTTTTCATGGTATTAATCTAATTTAACGGAGGATAAAATTGTTTTAAATGTACCGGTTTGGGATTTTTGGTGGTAAAAAAATTAGTTTTGGGTAAATTTATTACAAGTGTACCGGTTTTGGGTTTTTGGTGGTCAAAAATTTGTTTGAAGTAAATTTGTCACTCGTGTACCAGTTTAGGGTTTTTCGTGGTATTAACCCTAGAATTTATTATTTCAAAAACAAAAGCTAACATAGTCCATTGTTTAAGAAGTATATCTTTTTTTGGGGTTAATACCATGAAAAATCACAATATTATACACCCGTGCCACATTTACCCCAGACTAATTGTGATGTCATAAAAATTCTTAAATCGGTCTTACTATCACAAATCTTCCAAAACCTTATAGCAAAATTGGAACAAAATTAGGGAGTTCAGTAGATTTCCAAACCTTATGGTCGAGGCATGGGCCTGCACTCGTTTGGTTTTTTCTACTTTTTCGTGTTTTCTTAGTTTAACTTATTTTTTTAATTTAATATAGGGATAAGTGCACTAGAAGTCCTAAAACTTATCGTGCAAGTGCAATTGAGTTATAAAACTTTCAAAAAGTGTAGTTAAATTTTAAAACTTGTCGAATTGGTGTAATGAAGTCCTTCCGTTAACTCGGTCTAATATGGCTAAAGGAAAATGCTGATGTGGCTAAAACATAAACATGAGGCTACAACAATGTCGTTTTATTCCATATCTTATTTTTTAACCCTAATTTGATTTAAACTATATTTAAAGTAAACTGAATTAAAAAAGAACACAAAAAAGGAAAGGAAAAAAAAAACAGCCGAGGGCACGTTGCCATCGCCACCTCCACCATCGCCGACTAAGGTGAGGGTCACTAGCCATCCCCCCACCATTGTCAACCCTTTCCGGCATTTAGTGAGGCGGCGATGGCGAGGGCTTGCCGCTTCATTTTTTTTTTCTTTTTTGTGTTCTTTTTTCTAAAACTTAGCTTATTATTTTAATTCAATTTAAATCAAATTTAAGTTAAAAAAAATATTTGGACCAAAATGATGTTTTAGTATCATATTTCATGTTTTAGCCACGTTAACATCACTTAGAAAAGAGAAAATAATAACAAAAAAAAAAGTCACGTCAACATTTTCAGTTAGTCAATTTGGAAAGAAAGTTCTTGATTGCACTAATTTCACAAGTTTAGGACTTGATTGTATTTTTTGAAAAGTTTTAGAACTTTTCGTAACAAGTTTTATGGCTTATAATGTACTTATCCCTTTTTGGTACTTCAAAACTTGGATGCATTGCTCTCTTTTTTTAGCTATTAAAATCAGGTTCATTATGTTGATCATTAATTATCACGCCAAAGTTTATATACGGAATTCATTACTTAAGCGGCATGATGTGTCAAACAAACATTGAAAAAACTTGAGGCTGCCGATCTTTTTGGTCTTCTGCAAAAATGCGTAATTTGCTAATCTGGACTACTTACTAAAAGATAGTTTTAAGGTTTTGGTCTCTCTCTTTTTATTTTCATAAATAACCTTGCGACCAGAATTAAAAGCGAAAATAAAGTAATAACTAAAAAGATTAATAAGTGAGATACTAAGTAACGTGCGGTTATCGACAGTAGAGGCCGTATGTAACTTCACTAATCCCTCTCTTAAGCAGTTAACACCACCACCAATCATGGGGCAATGACCAAAGGACCGACAGCAATATAATAAGATGAGCTTGTTCATAAAGTATGATCTCCACTTACCACTTTAAGTAAATCGTGTGAATCAAAAAGCTATTTTGGAAGTCGAAGAGCCTTAAGATGGAAATTAATGGTATTTGGAGAATAACGGGCGGTCCCATTTAATAGCCGCGAGGAAGGGCCGTTGTTGGGAAAGCATATTTGTTTCGAAAATCCACTAGTAAGACCTCCAAATATTTTCTTCAAGGAGACTGACTAATTGTTGAAAAGCATTTTCTTCCAAAACATTGCCCTCACTGAAGTGGATGTTTGTTCCCTTGGACACCGCCTGTTGCTCAATGTTTAAATCTACTATAATTATCTGAAAAATGAATAAAAAAAGTCCACATAATGCATATCAATCATCAAAAGTCACTTGAACAGCCAATATCATCATCACAACAACGGAAAAAAGATTAAACATATCACATTATTGCATAATATTCCAACTAAGGGAAAATTACCCAATCGGTCTTCAATATATTGTACGGATGTCATTATAGTCTTAAATATTTTTCATGATTTTCTTATGTTGTCTATCCGACTGAAATTAGCCGGAAATTGCTGACGTGGCAGTCTAATCATCGCCGATTGTCCTACGTGTTAGTGCCGGCGATTTGACATAGACAACTCTACTCCAAATGATGTCGTTTGGAGTAATTTTTTGAATTTCTAGATTTTTTCCTTTTTCTCTCTTTTTCTTTTCTTTATTTTTATTTTTTCTTTTGCTGTTCATCTTCAACTTTACGATGAACATTGAAACCTGTGTTTGGGTTTGGACTTTTTATTTCTTTTCATATTCTCTACTAAACCTCATGTGTTATTGTGATTTCTTGTTCTTCTCTATATTCGTTTAGGACGTTGCAAGCTCTCGGCAATCGTCTAATGGTTTGGTTTTCTTTTGTTTGAGGCTAACAATACACTTTAAAGGAAGAAGAATAGGTTGTTTTAAAAGATATTACAAATTTTCATAGAATATTTCAAAAATTAGTGAAGAGTTGAAGAGATTGCAAATAGAATTTGTAGTGGTTCGGCTAATATAATGCCTATATCTACTCTCCCAGACTAATAGCCACCATGCACCAAGCCTCTATCTCGGCTTGGGCTTGTTCCTTCTCGAGTTGTGGCTCCGCAGTCATGCCTTCCTATGATTAATTCTCTGGTGTTGTGAGATCTGGATTTGATGTTGTTATCAAAATGAAATTGCATAATAGCTGGCTGAATTGTATTAGTGCCGTGGGATGGAGTTTCTGCAGAAAGTAGAACACCCCGAGTTGTTTCTCTAATCTAAAGGTGGAAATGATGTCGACCACTCTTTGAGTTGTTGCAGCCGTAACTTTGAGTGCCTTTTGTTGATTGAGTTTGTTAGTTTATTGAAACTGCGTGATAGTTGGCTACTGGGATCTTCAAATTGCTAGTGGAGGAAGGAGGAACTCCACACTAAAATGTGCGTCAATAATGGGGGAGTCTGATAAGAAATGTAAAGAAGGTTGACTCGTCGGAGAAGAAGATGAACAGTTACCATGTAATGTTAAGGAAAAAAAATTGAGAACTCAAAAAAATTAGACAAAAATGGCTTTGTTTTGCAATGTCAGGTCGTCGGCCGTGCAATGTAAGACGGCCGACGATGACCGAATGTCGCATTAGTGATTTCTAACGATAATTGATTGGAAAGAATTACATTAGAAAATTATTAAAATGTTTAGAATTACATTTGCCAAATTGAAAAGTTTATAACTGAATTGACATCGGTACGATATTTTTAGGATTGACCGGATAATTTTCCCTTCCTACTATAACTAGCTAATTTGGAACCTTCAAAAGAAAGAGATAAACGTATTGTAAAAGATACATAAGCTAGGAAACGCTACATAGTAAAATCCAAAATTGAAGGAAAAAGAAATTCAACATTACCAGCGC